CCTGAGCCGAAGGCAGACGCTCAACGCCTGAGCCACCCAGGCGCCCCCTTAATTTGGTTTTGTATATTTTATCTGATAACAGTAGCTCAGAACACGGCCACGGATCTCCAAACACTTGCTATGGCCTGGAAGGCTTTCAAATCCAGCCCCCTACTACCTCTCTCCCTTTGTCTCACTCTACTTTCCCTCTTGCTCCCTCTGCTTCATCCACATTGGCCTCTTCACTCTTCCTGAAATGTGCCAAGCATATTGTGCCTCAGGGCCTTTGTACTTGCTGCTCCCTGTGCTTGACATGCTTTTCTGCCAGATTTAAGCATGACTCCTTCCTCCCTTCCTCAGGTCTTGGCTCAAATATCACCTTACCCAATGGGCCTTGCCTAGCTTACCTAAATCCCTGCCCCACTCAGTCCTCTTTGTCCCCTTTAGGTTGGCACTTGTCACCACTTGATATATTCCATATTTCTTTTTCCTTTGCTTATTGCCTGTCTCCTCCAATAGAATGTCAATTTCCTGAGGGCAAGGATTTGTGTCTGTTTTGGTCACTGCTACTTCCCCAGTGCCTATAATAGGGCCTTACACATAGCAGGTGGGTAACGAATGCCTGTTGAATGAATAAAGAAAGCAATGATATCATTGAGCTGCTGGATCCAGCTACGCCTGAAGCTAGCCTTGCGAAATCGGATGGACGCACACAAACCAGTTTCCTTCTAGCCTACACTCCCATCTCCGAGACTAGATCATGGCTGGTGGATTTCTGGCTGACTGCATTTTCATCCTTGCTCTGTGACTCCTTCAGGGCCTGGCGACAGGCGGCTGGCAGTGACCTTCGCAGCTGAGTCCTCCCGAAATACAAGAAGAGCACAGGATTGAGGCAGCTGTGAGCCAGAGCGAGGCCGTTGACCAGCGGTTCAGCCCGCAGGGCCCGGGCCAGGAGCGCGGAGTGCGGGGCAGCCGCGGTGATTACCAGCCCCAGCAGGTGGTAGGGGGTCCAGCAGACAAAAAAACCCACCACTACGGCCATGCCCAGTGGCCAGCGGTGTCGGGCCGCGTGGCACAGAAGGGCCCCGTGGCAGCTGGCCACGACCGCCAGCGGCCCCAGGAAGCCAAAAACAAAGCGGGTGGCGGTCACCGTGTTCTCCACCACGGCGGAGCCTCCGTAGTCCACCACACACTCCAGCCGGCGAGGGAAATGCTCCTGGTGCAGCCGGCGGTAGATGGCCGAGGGCACGGTGAGCAGCAAGGCCACGGTCCAGGCGACCCCGCAGGCTACCTGCACCCTGCGCGCCCGCCCCGCCGCCGCCCCCCAGCTGGGCCTTAGGGCCAGCAGGCAGAGGTCAGCGCTGAGAGCGGCCAGAAGGAGCACGCTGGCGTACATGGACAGCAGGATGCCCGAGGGCAGGGCCCGGCAGCCCGCCGCCCCGTACGGCCAGTGGCCCCCGCGCGCGATGGGCACCGCCAGGAGGGGCAGAGACGCACAGCAGAGCAGATCCGCCACGGCCAAGTGGAGGAACCAGGTGGCGCCGACCCTCTGGCGGGCCTCTTTCCAGGTCACCCAGGCCACCATCGCGTTGCCGGGCACGCCCACCAGGAAGACCGCGGCATACAGCAGGAACGGGGCTGTGTGCAGCAGGTCGGTGGAGACGCAGGCGCCATCCACGCAGTCCACGGGGAGATCCGGAACCCAGTCGTAATCCCCATACTCGTAGTGGAGAGAATTGTTCTCCATCCAGGCCCCAGACACCTGAACAGGAGAGAAATCGTGGAAGCTCCTTGACGAAACCCTCAGGCCCCTGGAATCCCCGCGTGTGGGAACCCCCACTAGCCGCTTGGACGCTGGACTGAGACAGCTTCCGATCTCCAGTGCATCCTAATATCGGAATTCTAGAAGACTACCATCCTAGAACTCGCTCAGGAGCATCCTGGAATTAGAGAGTAGTGCCACGTCGGAACCCCAGCAGGTTAGAATACTGGAATTCTAGAATACCAGAGTGTGAGAACACTAGCTCATGAGCATCCTGGAATTCTGGAATATTACAATGTTAGAACCCAAGCTTACTCGCATCTAGGAATTCTAGAATGTTGCAATGTAGAAAATGATCGTGATTAAAAAATATATATTTTAGGGGCGCCTGGGTGGCTCAGTCGGGTAAGCGCCTGCCTTCGGCTCAGGTCATGATCCCAGGGTCCTGGGAGCGAGCCCCGCATCGGGCTCCCTGCTCGCTGGGAAGCCACTCCCCCTGCCTCTGTTCCCTCTCTTGCTGTCTCTCTCTCTCTCTCTCTCTCTCTCTCTCTCTCTCTGTCAAATAAATAAATAAATAAAATCTTAAAAAAATATATTTTGGAATCCCAAAACATTATACCATTAGAACCCCAGCCAATTATTCTTTGGAATTGTAGGGCAGCTCTGTGTGATCCAACATTCAGCGTTGATGGAAATGTTCTTTAAAAAACAAAAACAAAAACAAAAACGATTTTATTTATTTATTTGAGAGAGAGAGAGCGTGCGAGAGCACAAGCAGGGTGAGGGGCAGAGGGAGAAGCAGACTCCCCACCGAACAGGGAGCCTGATGGGGGGCTGGATCCTGAGACTCTGGATCATGACCTGAGCTGAAGGCAGACGCTTAACCAACTGAACCACCCGGGCGCCCCTAGAATTTAAAATATTGGAATCCAAATATCCATCAAGAGGGGGAAAGGTTAATATGTATTGACAGCAAAGGCCCTGAGGTGAGAACATGGTGGTCATGTTCAAGGAACAGCGAGGATGCCAGGGTGGCTGGAGTGGAGCAGGGAGGCAAGAGAAGGGGCAGGTAAGAGCAGAGAGATATCATGGACCGTGGGGCACACTGTGAGGACTTTATCTTTTATTCCACATGAGATTGGGGGCCACATGAGGGTGCTGAGCTGTAAAGCGACATGATCTATCATAGCAATAGCAATAATAATAATTATTATATATAATATTATCACTATGATAGTAATATAATAGATAGTAATATAATGTTATAATATGTAATATATAGTAATATTACTACTATAATATTAATATAATAATATATAGTAATATTAGTAATATATTAATATAATAATATAGTAATATACTAATATATATCATATATATTCATATTGTATACTAAATATATCAAACAAATATTAGATATTAAACATTAAATAAATGCATTAATGTATATTTTATATTATGGATAAACATACTATATATTAAATATATATAATAATATACTATATACTATACTATATTACATATAAATATATAATAATATACATATACTATACATAATATAATATATAAATATATATCTAAATATATAATACTAATATAATTAGTAATATAGATTAATATATCAATACATTATATAGTGATATAATAGTTATTTTTACTTTTATAATATAGTAATATTAATATATAATTATATATTGTTATTACTTAGTATTATTATATTAGTACTATTAGTATCAGGAGCCACCATCCACTGAGCACTTTGTGTTATGTGTTGGGCATCACTCCAGGTGCCTTTAAATCTTACATCATTTGATCCTTATAACCCTCTGATTCTAACACTATCCTTTTACCCATACTATCATTGTACCCATTCGGCAGACAAGAAAACCGGGGCCCAGGGATGTAACTTACCAAAGATCATTCAGCTAAGCAAGTAACAGAGCTGAGTTTTGAACTGTGTCAGCCCCACTCTGGAACTCCGAGCCCTAGAGTGCATTCACCCAAAAACCTTAGATTCAGGAGACAGAAGGCAGCACAGCCGGTGGCCCTAAGCAGACCCAGGCTCCGTAACTCAGTTTCAGTTGGCTCTCTCTTGGTTTCCTCATCTGAGAAATGAGTCACCGAGGTGAACCAACCTCACGGGTTTAGGGGAGGCCTTGTGGAGTTGACGTCTGATGAAGCACGTGGCTCAGGTAAAGGGCTTCGGTGGATGGTAGACCATCCCCCCTAACGTCAGCGTGACCTGCCCCTGAGGCTCTCTGCTGGCCCTCATGGGCACTCCCCAGAGCTCTAGCTGGCATTGACAGCAACAGGAAAAGCAGAGGGGAAGTTAGAGTGTTGCCCTCTGCCTCCTCCTCCCTGCCAAATAGTTGCCAAGAGGCCCAGCCACTTTGTGTGTGTGTGTGTGTGTGTGTGTGTGTGTGTGTGTGTGTGTGTGTTTGGAGTTTGGCATGCTGCTTTCATATTATTTTCATCACTAGAGTAAAAGGTGTATAGCTTTTAAAAATTCAAACCCTCACCAGCTGTGTGACCTTGGGCAAGTCACTTAACCTCTCTTTTCTTCAGCTTCCTCGTCTGTAAAATGAGAATACTACTATTCCTACCTTAGAGGTGTCGCGAGCATTCAATAAGAGAATCAGAGTGGAGAGCTGAACTCAGTGCCTGGTCCACAGTGAGCACTAGCTGTGGGGTAGTTGCTGGTACCTGCCGGTACGTGTGCCCTCTCTCCCCACCCTCAGACCCCACCCTGCCCAGCTTTTACTGGTCAAAATCCGGGAAATCTTCTGCATGTTGGCAGCTCAACCAACTGTGGTATTTCCCTTTGAATATATCAAACAGAAATGCAACGTCCAACACCCACTGTGTCATCTCTTTATCTTTTCCACGTAATGAATGTGGTTTCCATCTGTTTCCCTATCTGCACACACATCAGCCCTTTTCTACAGCAGCTTGAGTATCAGCCCGCTGGCTGGATGGGCCGTGCTCGGACTGTAAATAAAAGACATTTAAAGATAATCACGAACAGCCTTATTATTTTATCCTCATTTTGTACAGTAAATTAGATTCATATAAAAAACAATGAATTATATTCATACTGGTTATATATATACAAAACATAATTACCATCATCATCATCATTTTTATTTTATAACAATTAAGATAGCAGATGACATTTATCCAGCATCCATTATGCACCAGGCATAATCCTTATGACAATGGTATGAAGTAAGAACTATTGTTATGCCCCATTTCCCAAACCGTCAGCTACTTTGGGCTGCACCATCTCCCCAGCGTCTAGAATGGCACCTGGCAAAAATCAGGCACTTTGTTGGTATTTGGTGAGTAAAAGAATAAAGAGGGAAACTGAGGCACAAAGCAGCAAAGGGGACACTTAGGTTTCTTTCGGTTCCTTAAGCTCACAGGCACCCGTGTGCATGCTCTTGGCACGTGTATGTTCGTAAATCAGCTAGTCTTGTCAGAACTTCTGCTCTGGGGACCCGTGGGGCTGAATTGACTTAAACTGAACATAGGATACTTCGCCCCTCCCCCCAGAGAAGCACACATAGGCTCATCAAAAGACGTGTGCCAGGAAAGACATGTTCACGGCAGTCCCTGATGGGAAACCGCCCAAAAAGTCACCCCAAGGGGAATGAATAAACATACCATGGTATGGGGCGCCTGGGTGGCTCAATCGTTAAGCATCTAACTTTGGCTCAGGTCATGGTCCCAGGGTCCTGGGATCAAGCCCCGCATCAGGCTCCCTGCTCCCCTAGGAGTCTGCTTCTCCCTCTCCCTCTGCCGCTCCCCCTGCTTGTGCTCTCTCCTCTCTCTCAAATAAGTAAATAAAATCCTTATTTTTATTTATTTATTTGAGAGAGAGAATGAGATAGAGAGAGAGAGAGCACGAGAGGGAAGAGGGTCAGAGGGAGAAGCAGACTCCCCACTGAGCAGATCAAATTCACATCAAATTCAAAAACGAGCAGAAGAGTTCTGTGGGGGGTGGGTAGTGACTGGGGGAACAGGAGGGCACATCGGCACTAGGCTTGTGCTATTCCTTGACCCGGGTCCTCAGTACCTGTGCACACTTGGCTCGTGGAGATACACAGAGCTTCCCAGCTCTGATGTGCGTGTGTCTGTTACCCATGAAAATAAAGTTAAAGCTTCTTTCTTAAGAAGTGGAATTGGAGGGGCGCCTGGGTGGCTCAGTTGGTTAAGCGTCTGCCTTCTGCTCGGGTCACGATCTCAGGGTCCTGGGATCGAGCCCCACATCGGGCTCCCTGCTCAGTGGGGAGTCTGCTTTTCCCTCTCCCTCTGCCTCCTCCCTCCTGCTCATGCTCTGTTTCTGTCTCTCTCTCTCTCAAATAAAGAAATAAAATCTTTTTTAAAAAAAAAGTGGAATTGGTGAATCAAAGGGCTAGTTCACTGGACAAGTGGCCATTGGGTGAATTATCCAGAAACTGCTGGGGATCCTGGAGTTTGGAGAATCGTCCTTTGCTCTACACCTGAGTGTGCCAGATATGCGGACCGTTTGACCAAAAGCTTTCCGTTGGGCCGCCGAAGTGAATTCCAAGAGCCTGGAATTCCAATGTAATGGTGATAAGATCACACCTCTCAAATTCCCGTTTCTGATTCCCAGATTCTGAAAAGAATTAGCCTAAAAAGCCAAGATGGCCAAATGCCACCCTCCATCCTTCCCTCTCTCCTTCCCTCCCTCCTTACCGGCTCTTGTAAGAGGATCCTCATCTTGACCAGATGTCACTCGGAAGGCTAATCCGGGCTCACAGCCAGGACCCGGGAGGTCTAGGGGTCTCTGCTGGTGGATTCCTGGAAGTTAGTCCCCCTTGCCGAGGCTCCTAAGGGATGCCGCTGAGCACTGCCACCTCACGGGCCCCAGCCAATCTTAAAAACCAGGGGAAAACAGGAATGGCTTTTCATACTCTAAGGGTGTGTTTGTCCTGCATTCTTCCCATGACTCACACATCCCAAAATTACTGGGCAGCAAAGGAAGGTGGGTGGAGAGTTGACCCAGTGTCACCAACCCCAGTATCAATGCCATCTGTTCCTGGAAGCTAGACCTGCATGCGGTTTGAACTTGAAGGCCTGGCGTTGTCTTCACTCTCACTCCCCCAGGGGGGCCCTCTGAGGTCATCCTCAGGGAGGACCCACTGCCTGCTACCCGCCTCCCAGCCTCCAAATGTATACCAGCCCCCTCTCTGCTCTCTGCAAAGCCTTGAAGACAGATAAATATTCCTCCCGCCTTCCGTGTACTGAGAGAGACAGCTCAGGGTCACATTCCCCACAAAAAGGCCAAGGTCGTCAGCCACAGGGCAGACAAAAACACAAACAAATCATATCCCTCCTGTTCCCCCAGTTTCCCGTCTTTGAAATGGGAAGATGTTGACCGTCACGGCCCCTAACCTCACTCCCAGCACAGGCGCCAGGGCGAGAACATGAACTTGAGGGCCAGAATGACGAGATTCATAGTGCAGGTCCGCCGTGGTGAGATCCAGGGCCTCGGCCTCTCTGGGCCTCAACTTCCTCATCTGTGCAGTGGGCGTTTTGCCTTGAGCAATACATGGGTAAAGAGATTTCAAGCGCCTGGCACACCGGCACATCGGCTATGCCTCCCTTCGTTGCTAAACAATGACGAAAAGAATACAATAGAAGTTGTTAAAATTTACATTTTAAGAAGGCCTAGCAAGAGGAAGTGGTTCTCCGATTTCAAAACTCTTATTCACCAGTTCTGTCATGTGTGTATACTTCTCTCTGTGCATGCTTTGGGTGGAAGGGATATGTTTACACATTTCTTTTGATGTCCTTTAGGGAATAAAACCGTGTTGTTAGAGGAAGTTGTTCTGAGTCAACAAACTGGAGCTCACTGCGTGACCTGTGACATCTCCCGGCCCCTCCCGGGGTGACCATGTCTTGGCTGAGCCTTGTCGTGGCCCCAGACCCTCCCGACGAGACAAACGCCCCTTCCATCCCCTCCTGCCATGCTCTGGGAGGCCTCCTCATCTCCCACATCCTATGGGAACCCACCCTGCTCAGAAAAGAGACGAGCATGGCAGAAGCTCAGGGTGGGGACTGCCCTTGATCAGCCCAAACTTTCACGGATCTCAGGTTTACAGGAGTGTGTCTCTCAGATCAGGAGAGCTTCCTAAACGCCGTGATCACTGATCCTGAAGTGCATGTTTCTCAGATTCTGGGGGGGCGGAGGTTTTCTGGTGTCCCTGGCGCTAGGGGGCTCTTTCCTGGGGGCTAGGGGATGCTGTGGGCAGAGGCCAGGGTCTCTATAGGCTGTAGACGCCTGGGGGTGGAGAGCGGGCATGGGGTGGGGGGAGACACAGCTTTTATAGAAAGGGAGGGGCTGCTCTGGGTGTGGGATTCCTTTTTACAGCCACTCCGAAAGACGCCAAGTACCAGCCCCTCAACACGGGGGGAGCTAGAAGAAGAAGACCTTAGACGGTTACATTGACGTAGGAAATTGCCATGTCGTGGGTCAAAATAGGTTGGGTGGCACCTGGGTAGCTCAGTGGGTTAAGCGTCTGCCTTCGGCTCAGGTCATGAGATGGGATCAGCCCGCGTTGGGCTCCCCGCTCGGCGGGAGCCTGCTTCTACCTCTACCTCTGAGGTTCCCCCAGCTTGTGCTCTCTCTCTCACACACACAAATAAATAAATAAAATCTTTTAAAAAAATAGGTTGCATTCCAGCAAATCTGTAATGAGAAAGCAGATTAGTGGTTGCCAGGGGCTGGGAGGCAGGATGGGGTATCTTTGGGGTGATGAAAATGCTCCAGAACTAGAGAATGGTGACAGGTGCACCACACTGGGAATGTACTGAATGCCATTAATGGTGAATTTTATGTGGCTCATATTTTATAATTTTACGAGTAATAAATAATGAGCTGTTACACCCCCTCACCCCAAAATGAGATGAAGTTTGGCAATTTCATGGAGCTCAACCTACATAATTTTTTAATTAATTCTTTTTTTTTTTTAGAGATTTTCAAATAATCTCCACCCCCAATGTGGGGCTCGAACCCACAACCTCGAGATCAAGAGTCCCACACTCCACCGACTGAGCCAGCCAGGCACCCCCAACCTAACACAATTATAGAAACCTGAAAGGGTAAATGAATGGGGAAGCAAGTCCCTTTTGAACAATGGATATTATTATGTGATATTTGATGCACGGGAAAGAGTGTAGGTAACATCCGTGTAAGTTGTAGAGTACAACAATCAAACGAGCATCTGTAAAACCACCATCCTTCTTAGAATCTTTGAAGATCAACATCAAGGGTCAGTAAACTTTTTCAGTAAAAGAACAAGGAGTAAATATTTTAGTTTTTGCTGGCCAAGAGGTCACTCGTGGTCTCTGTCACAGCTACTCAGTCTGCCTTGGTGAAATGAAAGTAGCCACAGACTGAATGGCCACAGTCTGTGTGCCAATAAAACTTTATTTACAAAACCAGGCAGTGGGCCAGATTTGGCCCCAGGCTGGAGTTTGCTGACCCCTGATCTAGATCAAAGACTCTGAAGTGTTGAAATTACAGACTCGTAGAACACTGGAATCACAAGCTATTAGATCCAAGGGATCCGACAGTGGGAGTCACAGACTATTTGAATCATAGGATTCTAGTATGTCACACTAGAACCTGGCAGTGTTAGACATATGGAGCTCCCGCTGTTGGATGTTATAGAAAGGGAATTTTGTAGATGGTCTGGACATTAGTGAAGGAGTCCTGGCCCTCTGCTGTCCAGCATGGTAGTCGCTGGCCTCAGGAGGCTCCTGGGCATTTGGAATGTGGTGCATCTGAGATGCTGTGAGGAAAATACACCCCAGATTTCAAAAATAGGTAGGAAAAAGCAATGTGAGATCTCTCGATAACTTTTTATATTGATCACCTATTGAAATGATATTTTAAATATATTTGGTTCAATAAAATATATCACCCAAATTCGTGTTATCTGATTCTTTTGGTTGCTCTTTGCTTGTCCCTTGCTTAGCTGCTGGAAAATGTAAGCTCCCATATGTGGCTCACATCGTATTCCTATCAGACAACGCGAAATCTGGAGTAATACGCTCCTGGAGGTCAGAGGTGTGATGCCCGGGGCAGGTCACATGACACGGATGCAGGGGAGGAGGCTCTGACCCAGGCCCTGGGGAGCCTGGTCTGCGGCATAGGTGGGTGGGTTGGTGACAGGGCACTTGGTGGTGGGGAGTGGGGTGGGGCAGGGGATGGACACAGCCAACTCAGCCAAACCCAATCATCCACTTCCTTTTCCCACCACTTCCTCTTCAGGACTTGTTGACCCACCAGATCCCCCAAGCCCCAGATTTGGCAACAGCCTGGCCCGTCAGCCCACTTCCCTCCTGGGCAGGGCTACTCAACACGTCGGAGAAGCCACCCAGATCCCCGCTCGCCGGCCTCCAAGTGTTTCTAGAAGACCAGGGAGGCCCAGCTCTTGGAACAGCATCTCCTTCCCAAACCAGAGCAAGGGAAAGACCTCACTGCCTGCAGCCCGCTCCCAAACCAGGAAAGCTAGCGGCCGACCAGGAACAGGGAGGGAGGGGGGGGGGGGGGGGGGAAGGGGGGGTAGAGGAGGAAGTCAAGAAGGACTTCCTGGAGGAGGCTGCACCCTGAAAGAAGGTAGAATAGGGACAGGGATGATCAGAGCACCTGGGATGATCGGGGACGCCTGGGTGGCTCAGTCAGTAAAGCGTCTGCCTTCGGCTCAGGTCATGATCCCGGGGTCCTGGGATCGAGCCCCGCATCGGGCTCCCTGCTCGGAGGGGAGCCTGCTTCTCCCTCTCCCTCTGCCTGACAGTCCCCCTGCTTGTGTTCTGTCAAATAAATAAATAAAAATCTTTAAAAAAAAAAAAAAAAAAAAAGAAGGCCAGGGATGATCTTTTAAAAACAGGCCGGCAGCCGGGAAACCAGACAGGAAGCGAGGCAGAGACCCAAGTCTGGGAAGAGGGAGGAGCCTCGACCTGGAAGGGTGTCGGGTGGGAAGAGGGTGGCCTCCAGCCTGGGTCCCAGGCACAGGCTTGGTGACTTCGTGGACATAGGGCTTCCCTGGGATGGGGATATGAGGGGAGGGGAAGGCTTGGGAGAACATGACAAGGTCAGTTTGAGTGAGGTCAGTGGGTGCCGAGGCCACATCCTCAAGAGCTGTGAAGGTATCGGGTGAAGCTGTAAATATGGGCAGCATGATGGAGAGAGAGAACTCCAGAAAGCCAACATTTAAGGGGCGAGGAACAAACTCTGCTGATTGGAGGTGGCAGGGAAGGGTCGTAGAGAGAGGACGCCCCGCTGTGGGAAGAGGGTGCGGAGGGACGTTGGCTGTCTAGCTAGAAGGGACATCCAAGATCACATCCAAGATCACAAGCGGCTTCCGGGATGGTGCCAGGCGCCTCCCCACCCCGGCCTGAGGCTTAGGTCTCCCCCAAAGACTGTGGGGCCTGAGGATCTCCCCAGGTATCAACATTTACTACCAAAACCACACACAGCCCCTTCTAGAAGCCCAGCAGAGCACCTGTCTTCTGTGCTCAGACAGTGTCTTCATTTTTTAACTTATTTATTTACTTGAGAGAGAGCGCGCGCGCGCACACACACACACGCGTGCGAGAGTGGGGGAGAGGGGCAGAGGGAGAAGGAGAGAGAGAATCTCAAGCAGACTCCGTGCTGAGCAGGGAGCCCGACGTGGGGCTCGATCCCAGGACCCCAGGATCATGACCCGAGCCAAAATCAAGTCTAATGTGCAACCAACTGAGCCACCTAGGGGCCCCCAGACAGTGTCTAAATAAAAGTTGTACCCAGGCAGACACGACCATACTGTAGTAGCAGGATCCAACTACATTTGGCCATAATCATGCAAGATCCCAGCCCAGCACTGCAGACTGTTCCCTGGGCTCAGACTGCTCTTGCAAAGGAGGACGACGAGGCTATACCCACGTTGTCCGCTTTGGAGGCCACCAGCCCTGCGTGGCTCCTGAGCACTTGAAATGGGCCAGTCTGAATTGAGACGTGCTGTGTGTAACATACACACAAGATTTTGGAAAACTTGGGGGCACCTGGGTGGCTCAGTCGGGTAAGCAGCTGACTCTTGATTTCAGCTCAGGTCACGATCTCAGGGTTGAGACTGAGCACTGAGTCAGGCTCCCCGCTTAGGATGAAGCCTGCTTAAGATTCTCTCTCTCTCTCTCTCTCTCCCTTCCTCTGCCCCCTCCCCCCACTCACTTGCACTCTCTCTAAAATAAATAAATAGATCTGTAAAAGATTTTGAAGACTTAGTATAAAAAAAGTAAAATATCTCATCAATAACTTCACATTGATTACATGTTGAAATAAAAATATTTGGGGGGTGGGGCGCCTGGGGGGCTCAGTCGTTAAGCGTCTACCTTCGGCTCAGGTCATGATCCCAGGGTCTTGGGATCGAGCCCCGCATCGGGCTCCCTGCTCGGAGGGAAGCCTGCTTCTCCCTCTCCCACTCCCCCTGCTTGTTTTCCTTCTCTCGCTGTCTCTCTCTCTGTCAAATAAATAAATAAAATCTTTTTAAAAAAAATTTGGGGGGCATCCGGGCAGCTCAGTTGGTTAAGCGTCAGGGTTATTTTATCTGTTTCTTTTACATTTTTAAAGTTAATTAATTTATTTAAGTAATCTCCACACCCAACGTAGGGCTCGAACTCACAAGCCCGAGATCAAGAGTCTCACGCTCCACCAAGTCAGCCAGGTGCCCCTGGTTCTCCTTAATTTTTTAGTGTGGCAACTAGTAAATTGAAAACTACCATGCAGCTCACATCATATTTCTGTTGGACGGTGCTGGTCTGTATATTTCTAGCCAATCACACACAAGCACGCACACACAAAACACCAAACAGAAATGTTTTAAAGTCATTTATAAGTGACACAATATTACAATGCTTATTTTTTTTAATTTTCATTATTCAAGTGCTGAAGACTAGTTTTTTCTTAAGATTTTTTTTTAAAGATTTTATTTATTTGACAGAGAGACACAGCGAAAGAGGGAACACAAGCAGGGGGAGTGGGAGAGGGAGAAGCAGGCTTCCCGCGGAGCAGGGAGCCCGATGCGGGGCTCCATCCCAGGACCCTGGGATCATGACCTGAGCCGAAGGCAGACGCTTAGCGACTGAGCCACCCAGGCGCCCCGAAGATGTATTTATTTATTTTAGAGAGAGAGAGAGAGTGCATAAGCAGGGGGAGGAGCAGTGGGCGAGGGAGAGAGAGAATCTTAGGCGGACTCCATGATGTGTTCAGACAGCCCCTCCTCCCAAAGCGGGGCTCGATCCCAGGACCCTGATATCATGACCTGAGCTGAAATCAAGACTCGGCTGCTTAGCCGACTGAACCACCCAGGCGCCCTCAGACTAGGTTTTTGTTTTTGTTTTTTAAGTCAAAAGGTTCCATGGTTGATAGAGCATTCCTTGAAAGGGCAAATTTGGAGAGTGGACTCATGGTTGCCAGGGGGTCCAGGACAGGGCTGGGAGGGTGGAGGAACATGAGGGTGACTGACAAAGGGCATCATCAGGGATCCTAGTGGTGATGAAAATGTCCTGCCCCTCGAGTGTATCAATGT